CTTAAGTGTGAGAATATTCCTTCTGGGAGATCAGATAATCGGTTCCCACGCAGATCTACAGAGATCAGACGGCTGAGATTTGTGAATAATCCTGGATGAAGACGCGAGATGTTATTGTCAGACAGGAAGAGATGAAGCAAACTTGTGAGATTTGAAAACACTCCGTTTGAGAGATCCTCCATGTTGTTGTTGGACAGATGTAACGTTGACAGGTTACTGAGGTGAGAAAATACTTCCACGGGAAGACGTAAGATGCTATTGTTTCTGAGTGAGAGCAGTTCCAAGCTCGTCAGATAGAAAAAGACTTCACCCGGTAGTTCTTCTATCTTATTGTCAGTCAGGTTCAACTGTGTCAGGTTGACGAGATTTGAGAACACTCTTTTAGGCAGACTCGAGATGCTGTTGTTGGACAGGGAAAGCCGATTCAAACTTGTCAAATTTAAAAATACTTCGGCCGGAAGGTCCCTTATGTCATTGCCATTTAAGTACAAATGTCTTAGATTGACGAGACTTGAAAATACTTCCTTCTCAAGTGCCTGTATGTCATTGTTAGACAGGTACAAGTGTCGCAGGCTTCTGAGATGTGAGAACACTCCCTCTGGTAGATGGGTTATGCTGTTGTTAGAGAGATACAGTTTTTCTAGACTGATGAGATGTGAGAAAACTCCATCAGGTAGATCTACTATGCCATTGTTATTCATACTCAACAGTTCCAGGCGGTTGAGACGCGAGAACACTTCGGCGGGGAGGCTGGAGATGCTGTTGTTGTCCAATTCCAGCCATTTCAAACGGACCAAGTTTGAAAATATGCCGTCTGGGAGATCTACGACGTCATTGTTGGACAGGTACAAGTCGTTCAGACTACTGAGCTGTGAGAATATCCCGACAGGGAGGTCAGCTATGTGGTTATTAGAGAGATATAGGTAGGACAGACGACTGAGATGTAAGAAGACTCCGGCAGGGAGGCGGGGGATCTGGTTGTTGCGCAGAAGAAGCCCCCTCAGGCTGGTAAGGTTGGAGAAAACCGCGTCAGGCAGGTTCTGAATGCTGGTGAGACCCAGGTGGAGGTACCGTGTTCTTAAAGGTATGTCGCCGGGAACGTGTTTGAGTTCCCTCCCGAAACAGTCCACCTTTCTGAGAACACAGCTACAGTACTCCGGGCAGGCGGAGGCAGCAGTGACAACCCACAGGAGACAGAGGACGCCGCGTGCAGCAGCCCGGTACGACGCGCAGTAATTCCGCATGGCGTCGCTGGTGTCTGAGAACTTACATGAGGCTGGGAACAGTTTGTGTTTAAGGAGTTAAAGTTAATTCACTTGGCTTACAACACGATGTAAGACACATTGTACTCATCACCTTAAGTACATGCAGATTTCCCATTGATCACCCCTACGTGATACAAAGATCATTGCTACAAAAACCTGCCGAACACCTAGCCATTCCATTGTATGACCAAAGACCTGCCCACATACTACATACCATGACAATCCAGTCATAGCTTCATGGCTTCAACCTAATCTCCAAGTACATGTTATGGTAAAAATTGTAAAGTTTTCTGACTGACTGGGATTCTCTGATAATTATGACAAACACAAACACAAACAAACATTACCGGGAAGATGGCGAAGGTTGTTGTAAATATTACTGAGACTGTAAAATATGTAAACAATGTAAGCTGGACGAAAGTAGCTTCTAGCTACAAATTCTTGATCTCCAAACGTATCGCTTGAGGCCAACTATAATTGTACATACCTGTGATTATGAATCCGATCACGTATCCTACAACTACTTGTATCAACATACCTACATATATTTACATACAACATGTATTGATGAGCTAGAACATGGATTCGGTGATCGAAACCTTCAAGTTCAACTTCACTAATTAGGCAAAGCATGTAGAAGAAACAGTCACTAACACATGGTTTCTAGTACTGAAACAAACCATTGATAATTCAAAGAATGGTTCAAACAAGTGTCTTAGTAAACCATGCCCACAGCAACAGGAGGCTGATAACTTCTCAAAGGATTTAAGAGAGTGTTCTAGAAATACTCCCACCTGTGTGAATGTTGACGGCCCCCAGTACACACAGTATTGTTCACGCCAACCGTGTCACTTGTAAGTCTAAAATGGCGTCAAACCCGTCTAACCCCCAATTATTCAGCTATTCACTGAAGTATCAAAGCGCCACCTTTGACATAGCAGAGACAGTAGACAGCCGCACAGTTTGCCTGTGGGGACGTGCGTAACGTCGTCCATTGTGTGATCAGGAGATAAAAATCAGTACCGTGACAAATATTTTTTGTCCACCGACAGCTTTACTTTCCATTAGATAGTAAAGCTGTGCTTATTGGGTTTTATAGTGTTAACCCTACCTAGACCGGGGGGGGGGGGGCTAAAAGTGCCCGCGCCAACTTTGATGTCACCTAGCGTCTGAACGGCTAGCGCCAGAGAGGTCAAACTTGGTGACTTTTCCTAGAATATTGTTCGCAACAATTCTCTATCATTGGAATAAGATAATAATTTTTTGTGTTGCCATGGCATAGGGTTAATATAAGAGTTTTTATACTTAATATTAAGGTAAAAAGTTCCGTGCAGGTTTTTACCGCACGACCACATACCATACATACACGGAATGCTATGACTTAACGTTACGATATCATGGCATGTAGCTATAGGTGGACTGTCGTTCAATTTAGATTAGGTTAGAGTGCAGGAACGCCACAAATTACCAATTCTCCCCCACACCTTACAGATACATGAAAACAGGTAAAGCGGATATATAGTATACACCAACACACCTGCAGTGTTGGTATTGAAATCCTTTATTTGGAAAACTTCCCTCCCATTTCCGGAGATATTGATGTCGGAAATCCTACCTTCAGACCACACAACTATCCCTAAAACCCAATGCAGTTATCCAAGTACACAAACCGTGTCAACCCCTGTCGATACACGTACAATGGTCTATCATCTTAGCATAACAATTTATACACATAGAGAGTGAACAGCCACCAGTGCATGTACGGTCCAGCATGTAACTAATATCATATTATAACGCCACACGTTGCCTCAATATGACGTTGCGGAATACTGATCTACGTAACGTCCTTGGTCAGGAAACTTATAAATAGGTAAATTATGTTCACAGCGTGCATTCTGGCCCGGGGTAACAATACTACCAGAAAACACCCAGGTATATATTATTACAGTGGGCCTCAAGCGATACATTTGAGTGGAAGAATTTGTAGCTACAAGCTAGTGTCATCTTGACCTTCCCCC